ATGTCTTGATCTTTTAATTTTAGTGGTGTCTTTCCAAACCCTGAAGAGGCAAGCGCTCCTTCCCTGGGAGGCTTACAAGCGAGGGGTAGATGGCCTCTCTGAAGGGAATCATAATCAGTTTTATCTGATAATTGTAATGCATTCTCTCCCTAATAAAGCACATTATACGCTCGTGATTTCAGAGGCTGGGTTTGAGCCATTTGCTGTGAAAGGCAATGTCTCACTTGCAGGTGTGGATAAAAGAAAGGGAATAACCTTTTGATTCCAGGCTACTTGCTGTAATTCTGCTCTACTCAGCTGACAGAGAGCTTTTCTTTTTTCAGAGTGAACTGGCTGCTGTGTGTCTTGACCTGTTCACAGTCTCAGTCTGTCACAGTCGCCGCTGGTAATGAGCTTACACGGGGAAAGTAGAAGTGAGGAGAAAGTCTCTAGACCTGTTTGGCCAATCTGTGCATCTCGCTTTCTCCTTGCAAGGAAGCTGAGGTTGTCTGGGACAGTCTGTCTAGAGCTGATAAAGTGACAGCAGTATTTTCTTGGCACTGAGTTTGCCTTGGTGCAGTTTGGGGCCTATCTTACCCCTTTGGGATTGCGCTCAGCTAACTGAGTTCAGGTGGGTCAGCGGTAATCACCGTGTTTATGTGGCATTGAACATAGTTCACTGTTTGCTCTTGATGAACTTGGAACTACCCAGCAGTATACAGCTCACGCCGAGGGCGACTTGTGCTGTCAGCAGCAATCCACGGGCAGGCCGGTGTCCAGCCCTGCTCATATTTTTGGGTGCATTATTTATACTCCAGACCTAACCCACAAAGGTCATCGCTTGGATAGCCCTTGCAGGTTCCTCGGGACACCAGTCTTCTGGGAAGCTCTTGGCTTCCAGCTCACTGGGAGTCTGTCTGTGTGCTGCGTCATACTGGTGCAACTTAGGTTTAAGGTTCTGAGTGAGTAACTGTGCTTGAGAGAAGTCTGAGCCAAAAACATTTCCATTTAAAAGGGAGGGAAAAAAAAATATTCCGATGTTGCAGTTATTCTTGACTGAAAGGGGAATTTTACTAGAGACTGAGTAGGTGTGTTTCTCAAACTAATTCGCACAGGTTTCTTAGCTGGTTTGTTGCTACTTGTTGCATGTGGATACACCTGGAAGGACAGAGGGCGAAGGAAATTCCCGTTGGGCGAAGGAAATTCCCGTTATTCATCGGGTGCGTGCTGTGCGTACTGATAGTTCACAAGAAGTCAGGTCCTCCGTGGGGCGAGGGTTGCCATTGGGATTAAGAGTGTATTGTAAGGATGATAAAATCCCTTTTTAAAAAGAAGGGGGTTTGTAACAGTGGTTTAAATTAAAATGTTTTTAAAATCAAATTCCAAGTGAACACTGAAAAGCTCTTTACTGGTTTAGTGTACTTTAGGCACAGAAAGTCGGGCATGCCGTGCTGCTCAGACAATAATGTTAGGATAATTCAAACTTTTTTAAGAGCTGATCTCTTTTAATTAATAGAACCTTCCGATTTAAAAATTCCTGTACGGTGGTAGCACAATTGTTTTTGTGTTTGACGGGCTCTGGGGCACTCCTGTGGTGTAGTGATCAGTAGCACACGCAGTGCTGTATTTGGCTGTGTTCTTGTGATTTTTTTTTTTTCCTAGTCTCATACACAGCATCCTTATCAGTTTGCTAATTCGTAAATGGCGTTTTTAAGGGCAGGCCTGTGCAAGCACTGAAACTTCTGTGTAGTGCTGCCGTAGCTCCCACGTGAGCGCTGTTGGGTGATGTCTGCCCGAGGGCTGGCACCGCGAGTGCTGAAACAGAAGAGATGTTTTCTGTCCTTGCCCAGGCAGGCGAGCCTTAGCACTGGACAGCGTGTGTCAGACGGTGACTGGAAGCTTTGTATTCCTCTCTCTGTGACCTCCGATATGTTGCCTAAAAGCTCATGGTTACTAGTTAAGCACTTTTCTACCAGAGAAATCAAAATTTTCAGGGATGTGTTGTGTTTGTGGAGATGCTCAGGACTACGCTGGACGCGGCAACCTAATTAGATCTACTCTGACTAGATTACTTTTAGCAGTCTCTCCCAGTATAAGTTACTCTATGATTCCATCATTAATGCAGGAATTAATAAATGACATATTCTGTTTGGATTCTGCAGAAATAGAACTCATCCTTTATAACAGGCTCAGGACACTGCTCTTGTCTAAGCACAATCCCTGCTCATATTGTAGATTTTTCTGCCTTAAAACTGCCACTAAACTGACTTTTGCATGACCACACCTGTCCCCATTATTTGTCCCTATCTGTGTTGGTCCCTTCTGTCAACGAGCTTGGATCCACTGCAAAATTATCCCTCTCTAGGGGCAGTGAAAGCAAAATATATTCCAATTCCATGGCAGTTTTGAGCAGAGAGATTGAGAAGCTTTCAGGCAGGGTAAGTTTGCGTGACTTTGCTTTAAAACCAAATTATCTGTGCAGACTCTCCCCTCTTCCTGTATAAAGAGCAGTAGACAATAATATCTACCTTCGTAAATAGGAATTGTGTGCTGTTCTTAGAAGCTGCAGTCGATGATTTCCTGAAAAAGCCCTTCTCTGAGCAGTCTGTTAGAGCATACAGCTCGTGCTAGGCTAGAGCTACGTGACAAAAAATATCCACTGTGAAATCTGATCTATCTTTAGATAATGCGATCGATTTTTCTTTTTCATTATTTTTTTCTGTGCTGACACTGATGTTGCTAAGCTGGATGAGGTGGAAGCCGTCACGTGTTCTTTATTGATACTGAGTTGTGCTTAAAAATTAGATTTGCTAAGTCATCTTTGTATACAGGTTCAGCTAATTCCTACACAAGGAGTATTGGGCAGAGGAAATTAGCCAGTGCATCTGCCAGAGCTACATGGAGTGAGGAGAAACGAAACCACAGTGATTAAGCTTTGAAATCGAATAAATTTCACTGTCCTAAAAGTGTTCCAGTAAACTTGCATGCTCTGTTAATGCCTGGATACATTTTTGGAATATACATCTAATTTCTGAGTGTCTGAGTCATGCAACATAAATGGTCTGAGGTGTTAGATGATTGCTGCCTAATCTTCTGGAAGTGTATTTTGTTAGAGGACTAGTATTTTGTCCAGGAATAGATTTGTTTTATTTTATTTTTAGTAATATTTCTTATTCTTCCCTTAGCTGAACACCTGGCTGAAGTTCCCTGTCCTTCCTTTACTGGGCTGAGGCCTCAGTCACACCTCTTGTGGATTTTGGAACGGTGCTGTGTCCCTTTTTGACCTTGGGGCTGGATTACTCCAACCTTTTCTACCTGGAGCTGCCTTCAGCACCCTCTGTGTGTCAGTAGGTCAAAAAACAAACCCACACTGCCATGGTCGGTACCACCTGAGGAGGCTTAGTCCTCCGAAAGAGACCTCGCATACATTTCTGCCTCCCAGTGCCAAAGCAGCTGCTGGCTGAGCCGTGGGAGGTGGTGGAGGGCATCAGACCTGTGTCCCCCAGGTCTCCTCCACCATCTCCATAGCCAGGGCCTCTTGCTGGGGTCCTTGCAGTAGGCTGCAGACCTCGAAGAAACGACAGGACGCTGCCCCGTAGAGCAGGATTTCACTTCGAGAATTTTCTTCTGGTGTGACGTGTCCTGATAGCCGAAGCTGTCTGCTCTGAGCAGATTTCTAGGTCTTTTTGACTAATTTCTGATTACTGGGGCTATTACTTCCTCCTGTAGTTTGGCAGTTGCCCGTATTCTGTGAAGGGTTAAGACTGGCATAGCAAATAAATCTTACTAATGTAGATTCCAGCACTGCCCACTCATTGAGCACCTTTCGGTAAACAGGGCTGTGAAGTCTCTGCCGTGTGCTACGCACCAAACAATGCTCCCTCATGCTCCAATACAGCTTCCTTCCTTTCAAGTTATTTTGAAAGCTGGCAAAGAGATTTTTCTACTTAGAAGTGTGTCAGCTTTCACTCGTGGTGAAAGATTTAAGAGGTGCAAAGGCACTATTTTTACGTTAGGCAGGACAATACATTGGTATGAAATTGTAGTAACTTACTGTTGTCTTAAATATTCAGGAATTAGTTTTTGACCCATAGTAACTTTTGTTTGAGTTGCTTTGACTTCTCTCAGTAGTGATAAAACTTAAAGATTTGTTAAAATCAGATCGCTTACCATATCCTTCCAAGAATGCAAAGAAACATCTTTAGACATTGCAGCAGAATTTTTCTTTCATGTTTGGGTAAAGCATCGTAATCCAACACTGCCACTGCCGTCTCCTGAACCACAGAAAGATGTGACCAAACTGCTACCCCATCCCAGCAGAACTCTTCTGGCTGCCTTGCTTTGTTGTGAAGTCTTCGAGCATCCTCAAGCCATTTAATCCCTGCCTTGCTTTCCACAGAATGGGTCAATGTAGCCACACCAACCTCTGTGCGTGTCGCGTGAAAGGCTCCAGTCCTTTTAAGAATTGCAAGTAAATCCTCAAGTTCCGATTTCAAATGACAATCGGCGTTTCTAGAAGTTGGGGCTTGGGGAAGTGCTCGGTTCAGGTTGCGCGGGTGACCTTGTTTATTAGTGCATCGTTTATTAGTGCATTGCAAGTTGTGCAGCCTCGAGCGAACGGAGCATTTTGGTTACACGGGATGGCACAGGACTCCCTCTGGATGGGGGGAGAGTTTGCAGCCAGTGGCTGTTGCTTTCATTCTGGAGCTGAAAGGAGTCTGTCCGCAGATACAGAGCACTTTGCATTTCCTCCCTTTTGGAAAGTTATCTTTGCAACTGTAAGTTGGAAACTACATGCTGGAAGTTGCAAGGTGGTGGTGGGTATGGTGTGTTACTTTTGCTAGCAGGGCCAAGTGATCCCATCCTGCGTGAGGGAGAGCAGACAAATTGTTTTCAAGCTCTGACAAATCATCCCAGGCCTGCGGCTGGACTCCAGCCTTTCCTCCTCAGCAGCTTTTGATGACTAGCTTCAATGTTTTTATAGTATCTTGAGATTTTAACCTCTGGTTTATTTTCTGTCTGCAGGTGGAAGAATCTGAGGCCTTTATCCTCTGTCCAGCTTTGCAGGTCGGGTAGCCTCTGCTTTCAGACATCTCCTCATTTCCACCTGCCAACCTGTCTGATATGTCGGGACCCGTGCCGAGCAGGGCCAGAGTTTACACGGATGTGAACACACACAGACCCCGGGAGTACTGGGACTATGAGTCGCATGTCGTCGAGTGGGGGTAAGTCTGGGCAGGTTGTGGGTGTCCCAGGACCAGGGTCAGTCCCTGTGGGATCCTGCATAGTGGTGCATGGGGCGTTCAGGCACCTGTGCTGCGTTAGGCTTTTTCATGCCTCTTGGCAGATGTCTGGTGTGCATGGCAAGTGTTAGGATCGCAACTTTTCTTCAGAATAGGGTTTCTTGTCAAAATTCTAAATCCCTGGCAGTGCAGGCACATTTTTAGCAGTTTCCTTAAGGGTTTGGTTTGAAGATTTTTTTTGCCAGGTATTCAGAAAATGTCCCTTTTCAGAGGGAAGAAAATCTTTTTCTGAAGCAATCTAAACGGTCCTGGGCGAGGGCTGAAAAGAAGCAAAAAGACAACTGAAGTTGCTTCTGACTTGCATGAGTGAAGAGACTCAGCAGACTTAAATAGGTACATGCTATTTTGTGACTTGTTGCTCAGCTCTCTGCGAGTGACTGGAAAAGACATGTCTGCTGCTTTTTGAAGAAAGGAGGTGTCTAAATTGAGCTCATGACTAAACTGTCCAAGAATCGGACAGCAGTGGTGCCAGCTTCATAGCTCCTGTGTTCCTGCTTTTGTATAGCAGGGCCAGGACTAAGTTCTGCCCTCAGCTTTGCGGCAGTTCCTGGTCTTTGAAATGTATACGGTCTTTGTGCATGAGTGGTGTTTCATGCCCAGTCTGCTTTTAAACAGGCTAGCACTTAAATTTTTGGTCTCACTGGCTTTGATTTTTAACAATATTATACAAGGAAAAAAAAAAAATGCAGCTTCCAAATATAGAGAAGGTGGAAGGGATAGCTTGAGTTTGCTGATGCTGAAATGCGTAGTTGGGTTTATGTTGCCTAGTGCACAAGAAATAGGTTTTGGATTGAATCTAACATGAGTGAGCAGAAGCTCCCTGTTTCTCTCCTAATTCTTAATCGTCACGTCCAGGAGATGTAAGATGTTAATCCACCTTGTCTGGAAGGTGAGGCAGTGATTTAGTGTTGAGTGATTTGTAAATTGTGATGGAAATGGCTGAGCTCTTTGGAACTCTTAACTTTTTATCTCCACAGAAATCAAGATGACTACCAGCTAGTTCGAAAATTAGGCCGAGGCAAATACAGTGAAGTATTTGAAGCCATCAACATTACAAATAATGAAAAAGTAGTTGTTAAAATTCTCAAGGTGAGCTGGGGATTGGGCAAAAGATAAAAATCTGTCTTGAGGTGATCAGGAGGCCAGAAAGTGCTGCCTTTCATCTAAAACGTTTGATGTTTTAAAACTGCAGTCCTTAAAGCCTGGCTTTGGAGTGTCATTCAGTGAAATGGGCCACCCTTCTGAGCCTCCTAATAGAAGCCCACTATTTGGTTATTAAGTCACATCTCTGCCTGTAAGGAATTAGAATCCATCTTAAAGAAATCCTGATGTGCAACACGTTTTTACTTGGGGCTGAGCAACACTTCAGCAGCTGACTAGAAAATTCTCACCTTCTCTAACTACCGGTGTGCTGGCTGTCATGTGCATAGAGGCCTGTGAGCTAATGGGATCATTGTCCTTTAAAACCACTGATTAGATTTAGGGACTGCTAACTTTAACATTTTCATTTCTGCTCTGCATGTTCCATTACACATGTAATACCCTTCCAGCTTGAGAAAGGATCTCCTGGATGCTGGTTATTCCACAGCCTTGATCGGTGAAATACCTTCAGTTAGTGGCCCTCAGATCGCTTATACATTTACCATGTGCCTGTTAAGATGTTTTGGTCTATCGGATCATATTCAGGCAGCTTTGGGGCGGGGGGGGGGGGG